TGGTTTGGCACATGGGGGTGTTCACACACACACACACACACACACAGACCTTCCACTGAGCCGCAATCCCAGCTTGACCATTTGGAAGTCACTAAAAGGCTACTTTTGTAGTGTTCTTTGGAATCATCAGCTTTTTAAAAAGTAGACAGATGTTCACATTTTTTTTAATACTATTATTTTATGTGTATGGGCGTTTTGCCTCCATGTATTTCTGTGTTGTTTGTGAACATGGTGCCTGTGGAGACTAGAAGTGGGCATCAGATCTCCTGGAACTGGAGTTTACAGATGGTTACAAACCACCATGTGGGTGTTAGGAACTGAACCTGGGTCCTCTGCAAGAGCAGCCAGTGCTGTTAACTGCTGAGCTCTCTCTCCAGCCCCAGATGTTCACACGCTAAACCTTCTTTCGCCTTGGTGTGTTATAGTTTGGTTCATGCAATCTCTTGCAGTTGTGAAAATAATGGCTGTAATCAGAAATTCAGCACAAAATCGAACTTGAAGAAACACATTGAACGCAAACATGAAAACCCACAAAAACAGTATATAGTGAGTATGGCTTTATGTGTTTCAACTTTGACTGTTTTTACATTTGCCACCAAAGTGAGTTTGTGTAGACCAGACTGTTATCTTGCTGGATGTGTGCAGTCCAGCATTAACTGTCCTCATCATGCAAGTTTTCATTTTGCACACTCACTTTGGGCACATCTGTGTTATTGACGGCCACCCCAGCAGAAGCTCGATGGCTTTTCTGAATGTCATCGATCTAAGTTGTTGAGATGAAGCATCTCACAGGGACTAAGTGGGTGACAGTTTCTATTCTCCAACGCACTTAGATCCTGAGAAAGTTGTTTGATTCAAAAAGTTTTATATTTATCCATTTTATGTGCAAGTGTTTTGCCTGTATGTGTCTGCACCACATGTATGCTGGGTGCCTATGGAGGACAGAAGAGGGTGTCAGTTTCTCTGGAACTGGAGTGAGAGATGGTTGTGACACACCAGGTGGGTGCTGGAATCCGCGCCTGGGTCCTGGAGAGAAGCAAGTGTTTGTTTTTTTTTAAGATTTATTTATTGTGTGTACAGTATTCTGTCTGCATCTATGTATGCAGGGCAGAAAAGGGCACCAGATCTCAATACAGATGGTTGTGAGCCACCATGTGGTTGCTGGGAATTGAACTCAGGACCTCTGGAAGAGCAGCCAGTGCTCTTAACCTCTGAGCCATCTCTCCAGCCCCATCAGTAGCCCTCAAGAGGACTTCAGCAACTGTTGATTCTTTCCTTTACTAAACAGTACATTTGTGTTTTAACAGTGCAGTTTTGAAGGTTGCACGAAGGCCTTTAAGAAACACCAGCAGCTGAAAACACATCAGTGCCAGCACACCGGCGAGCCGCTCTTCAGGTCAGTGCTTTGCCAATACTCTGGAGTTCAGATCGAAGCACAAAGATCAGGGTCCAGGGCGAGGCGAGGCTTAGTGTGCCCATGGGGACTTAACAAATCTATTTGTTTCTGGTTCTCTGAAAACCATTCTGCATGTGTGGGGAACAGCTTGTGAGTCTTGAAGCTGTGGTTAAGCATGAAGGGAAGGTGAGGAGCCACCTGTTCAGTTTTGTGACATGCCATCACGAGGCTCTTTTTCTATAGAACAGAAGTAATTGGGCTCCGCCTGCACAGAGGGTTTCCTACTCAGAAGGATGTATGTGCACGTGCATGCGCATGTCTACACAGTCGAGCTGACCAGGATCTTGCTTCTGGCTCCCACAGGCTGCCTTTGCCCTGGTGCTGCTGCAGTGACAGTACTGTCTCACTCACAGGCCTGTGACCTGTCTGTACTGCCGGTGGCTGTGGCGCTGCACTGGGCAGTTTTCACTGGTGCTGCGGATCCAGCACACTTCCGTTTCCTCAGACACCTGAGCCGCTGGATCTGCCATTTCCTTTCCCTCTCCCTTTCCTCCCTGTTGCTTCCTCTCTTTTGTGTTCTTGAGACTGTGTTGCTGCATAGCTCAGGCTAGCCTTAAACTCTCAGTCATCTTGCCCCCATTCTTCAGGGCTAGTCACAGGCATGTGCCACCATGCTCGGCAACCAACGTCATTTGTTTTTTGTTGTTGTTGGTTTTTTGAGACAGGGTTTTTTTCTGTAGCCCTGGCTGTCCTGGAACTCACTCTGTAGACCAGGCTGGCTTCAAACTCACAGAGATCCACCTGCCTCTGCCTCCCGAGTGCTGGGAGTAAAGGCGTGCACCACCACCACCCAGCTACACACACCATTTGTTGTTGGTATTTTTCTGGTGCTGGCGTGTTCTTATCTGGTGATATGTGGCATAATGGGCATACCATAGACAAACAGTTCAGGATAGTCTAATGTCACCTAAACAAAGTCAACCAGCCCCCTGAAGTGGCTTCTGTAGCCACAACACTGGATATTTTCGGAACTATGAAAAGTGACATAAACAAAAAATGTGTGACTTTTTCTCAGAATAGCTTGTTTTGCTCCAAAGCTGGCCAAGTCACTGGTGTTTGTATTTAGGGCTATACTGAATCTTTATTTTGGTGTGGAAAACAATGGGCTCTGGTGAGGAAGGGGATTTCAGCAAAGCTCTCTATGGGAAGGAACTGGCTAACACTTCACGGGTTGCTTTCCCAGGTGTCCCCAGGAGGGATGTGGGAAGCACTTTGCCTCACCCAGCGGGCTGAAACGGCATGGGAAGGTTCACGAGGGTACGTATGGATGGGCACTTTGCCAACATAGAGGAACCCAGCAGCAGCATGTACTTACTGCTCGGGTTGCTGGGCATCCTTGGTCTGCTCCATGGTCTCACTAAGTACATACATAGAGCTGTGTGGCAAAGGACAATGACTTCTTGTCATTGTCATTTAAACCTGTGTTGTACTGCTCCTAAGCACCTGGCTGTGCTTCACGGTTATTAATAACCCCTTTTGTGTACCACCTGTGTGTTTCTTTTTCTAGTTATACTGTAAAGTTTGCAGAGAGCAGTGATCAGAACAAACCCATTTCATTGCAGCCAGCGGAGTGGCATGATTCTGAGAAAGGAGAGAGACTACATGGGCACCGGTGCCTTCCTGGCTGTCGTCAGGGTTTGCACTGGGTGTTCAGAGCAGGCAGTGGGTAATTTCTTGGTTGTTTTGAACAGGCTATCTATGTCAGAAGGGATGCTCTTTTGTGGCAAAGACATGGACAGAGCTTTTGAAGCACATGAGAGAAGCCCACAAAGGTAGGCGAACATGCAGCTGAGGAAGACATTGGCCGGGGGAGCTGAAAAGAGTGAAACACTTCCAGGTGCTAGAAAGGCAGGGGCTCTGCACGATGTCATGTGTAGTGCTGGCTTCCTGGGCTGCTGACCGGTTGCTGCAGCTCTCTGGGCTGGTGCTGCTATGCTCACAGCTTTTGTGAGGTGCACACTGTAGCTCTCCAGGGCTTCCTGGGAACTGCTGCTGTGTGTCAGAGGACAAAGCAGAAGCCATGGGTATTAGTTCTGCCTGCTCAGTCACCATACTAAGGTCCCCTGCTCCTTGAGAAGTTGGGAGCCATGAGAGAACTTGAGGGATTCAGAGCCAGTTGCAGTGATCCAAGGGCTTTAAGTTTCCTCCAAAATCCCTGGTTTGTGTGTAGTCACAGGATTAGACTTGTGTGGTAATAGGGACATTGGTTAAATGAGTGTCTCCCCGCCAGAGGAAGTCACCTGCACAGTATGCCAGAAGACATTCAAGCGCAAAGACTACCTTAAGCAGCACATGAAGACTCACGTTCCAGAAAGGGAGGTGTACCGTTGTCCTCGAGAAGGCTGTGGGAGAACCTACACAACTGTGTTCAACCTGCAGAGCCACATTCTTTCCTTCCACGAGGAACAGCGTCCATTTGTGTGTGAGCACGATGGCTGTGGCAAGACGTTTGCAATGAAAGTAAGTGTCTGCTCCAAGCTGGAGTGGTCCTCAGGTCCAGCCTGCAGAACCTCCAGGTTTGACAAAACCAATTGTTCTCAGTGAGAATGGAGAACTCATTAGAAATGCAGAATCCAGGCTGGCGCATACCTTTAATCGCAGCACTCGGGAGGGAGAGGCAGGCGGATCTCTGTGAGTTCGAGACCAGCCTGGTCTACAAGAGCTAGTTCCAGGACAGCCTCCAAAGCCACAGAGAAACCCTGTCTCGAAAAACCAAAAAAAAAGCAGAACCCAATCCCCTTTCTGACCCAGCTGGGCAAGAAGCCCCAGGGTTTGGAAGCTTACAGGCTTATTTTAACAAGCGCTTTGGGGCAGTGGTTCTCAACCTTGCTAACACCCCCCCCCCTTAATACACTTCCTTATGTGGGTGACTCCAAACCATGAAATTATTTTGTTGCTACTTCTTGTCTGTAACTTTGCTACTGTTATGAATTGTGATGTAAATATCTGATACGAAGGGTACCTGATAGTTAACTCCCCAGAGGGGTCGTGACCCACAGGTTGAGAACCAGTGCTCTAGGGGCTTCTGGCTGTGCTGAGTGGGAGAGCCAGGATCCTTTATCTCCACTTACTTAAGAGACTTACACTCTGGGTGAGCTAGCAGACCATCTCTTGGTGCCTGAGCAAGGAGGTGGGGAACACAGATGGGCAAACTCTGGGCTGTGGGATCTTGGTATGATTCTCAGGGACGGGTGGAAACATGGTTCCAGGTGGGGACTTTGCAGTTTGCTTCAGCCTGAAGTTCTGACTATGGATTGTATACTCGCCAACCATAGCTCATCATCAGCTAACAGGGCAGAGGCCAGATTTCCATCCCGTGTTTAGGCGTGTAGCTGAGAGGTTCAGCTCAGCAAGCCTGAGCTTGGAAGTTCAATCCTAGCAGGCTTCCCTTCTCAGGAAAGATCCCAGTCAGTAGATGGGATGGAGTAAATTCCCAGCCTGGTCCTTGGAAAGGACTGTGAAAGTCACTCTGCTAAGGAGTCAGAGTCTCCCCTAGGCACTGGTCTGGGAGTTGGATGGAATTCAAAGTCATTTACAACAGAAAGGCAGTTGGTAGTTTATTGCACCATCTCATTACATTTTAATGTCAGTAGATACCAAGAGCTTTTAATTTTTTAAAAAGCTAATTACTGAAACCAGCATACAGGTGATTGTGAGCTGCCATGTGGTTTCTGGGAACTGAACCCAGGTCCTTTGCAAGAGGTGCTCTAACCACCAAGCCACCTCTCCAGCCCCGGACCAACGGTTTCTAAAGCGGCCTTCTTTTTCCTGCACTGCAGCAAAGCCTCATGAGGCACAGCATTGTGCACGATCCCGACAGGAAGAGGGTGAAGCTCAAAGTAAGTGGAGCTGCTAGGCTCAGCCCTCAGCTGTGGTGTCTGCTTGCCTTCCGTCCTCCTACCCCCCCCCCCCATGTGTATGTCTGCCTGTGAGTCCATTCATTGCGGACGGTGACTGTTGTGACGGGGGATTCAGTTGTTTGTTTTCCTTACTCCCAAAGGTAAAGCCGCCTCGGGAAAGACGGAGTTTGGCCTCTCGCCTTAGTGGGTACTTGCCTCCTAAAAGGAAACAAGAGGCAGACTCCCCCATCTCTAAGAGCACAGAGTCCAGCAGCAGCCCGGAAGGCAAGATGCTGGTGCCAGCTCCATCACTCCCCTCCACTAGGCACCTCTGGCTGTGTGAGGAACTCCAGGGCAGCCAGCAGGGACTTCTGCACGAGCCTGGGTTTTTTTAAATTAAAGTCCCTGGCACAGAACATCTGACTCCTTGTTTCTGTCATCTTTGTTCAAAGTTTCTCTTCCCTCAGTCTCCTGAGAGTCTCTGTACGCCTTTGCTTCTTTCTTGCTCAAGGGACGAAAAACACACATGCAGGCGGTCCCTCCTCGGACGGCTTTCGGTCTGCTTGAGAAGGTTGCTATCCCAGGCATAGTCTGGAGAATCTGGTTAAATATCTCATCCTACAAAGGAGAGCAGTGCAAGGTTAGTTTAAACTTAGTGTCTCTGACGCTGTGGTGAGACTGAGCATGCACCCTGGAGCTGGTCAGCTCCTACATCCGCTTTGTGCGACTGCTATCTGCACAGGGACTCTCTGTGCTAAACTAACAATGCGGACTGCAGCCTCTGCTCTGTCTCAGCACTAAGGGGCTACAACTAGCCCACCCATGCTTTCCCAAAGTCAAGCACTGGGTTTGGGTCTTTTTTTTTTTTTTTTTTTTTGGTTTTACGAGACAGGGTTTCTCTGTTTTGGAGGCTGTGGGTCCAGCCTGGCCTCGAACTCACAGAGATCCGCCTGCCTCTGCCTCCCGAGTGCTGGGATTAAAGGCACGCGCCACCAACGCCCAGCTTGGGTTTGGGTCTTAACAAAGTGCTTTCCTTATTCTAAAGGGAGGGAAGTAGGTCCCACTTGGTCTCCAGAAAGTCTGAAGCAGTTGAGCTATGCCCTTCAAGTATGTGATGCAAGCGGCTTAGGCTGAAAACCCACTGTACCAGTGCCGCCTTTGGTGGTGATCAAGTGAGCTAGGATTAGAAGCCAGACAGCCCAGAAACATCAGGACTTCTCTGGAATAAAGCTCTCCAGAGAACAGGTGAATGGAAGAGAATCCTATGAACTATCTACTTTTTATATTGTAAATGTTAGCTATTCAGCAGTTTTAAAAACACAGTATAGCTTTTATATTACAAATTTTTAAATGGATATGGGTGGTATGTATGTATGTATGTATGTATGTATGTATGTATGTATGTATGTATGTATACCACATGTGTGTGGTGCCCACAGAGGCCAGAAGAGGACTTCAAATTTCCTGGAACTGGAGTTACAGACTTGTTAACTGCCATGCGGATGCTGGGGACTGAACCTGGGTTTTGGTTAACCACTGAGCCATCTCTCTAGTCCCCAGAACAGTATCTATGTGGCAAATACATTCTAATGGAAAATGATACAGTAAGTGTACATACAGGTTGACACTAGGAAGCTGGTACCATCCAGGTAGTAGAGTTACCAGGCAGTGGCTTTGCCTGTATTTTTTCCAGTTTTTCTACAATTGTATTGCTGCATCCGAAAACAAAGGCCCAGCAGGCGCTCACACCTACTCACCATCTCATTCCCCGGCTGCTCAGCATTTTTCGCCTTCTTTATTGTGACTTGAACGTGGTACTTTTTCTCAATCCACTGCTGAATCTGTTTACTCTTTGTGTCCAAATCATGCTGTCCAATATTTGAAGAAAAAATGAGTTCCTTTGTCACAGCTGGTCCTGGTGGAAACAGTGCCGTTTACTGCTGGGTGTTCCTGTTCTCTGAAAGCTCAGCTTCCACCCACACTGCTCAGAGTTTAGGCCTCACAGGTTCTGACATGACAGCCTTCATCTCATTTCAGCCTCATGGACTATCCGATACTTTTTCAAATGGAGGAGACAGGCATAGAGGTTTGTTGTTGTTAATGTGCTAAACAGCAGCTAAAATCTTGGAAGGCTTGTGTGTGGGTGCGTGCACTTGTGCTGTAAGTGCTGGTGTGCATGTGTGTTGTGCGTGAGTGGTCAGGACAACCTCAAGTGTGGTCCTCACCCACCTTGAGAAAGGGTCTTGTTTTCACACTGAACTCCGGGGTCACCAGTGTCTGAGCTTCCAGCGACTCTCCTGCCTCCCGTACCCATCTCCCCAAAGGGGCCAGCTTGGAGTGCAGCTGAGACTGAATTTTCTTTGGCTCTGGGATTCAAACTCACACTTGTGCACAAGCACTCTCACCCACTGAACCTCCCCCAGACCCCATGTTAGACTGAGCTGTGAATCTGGAGATCATCCAAGAGAAACAATGGGGCATAGTAGGCAACTCAGAGATGCAGCCCAGACAGCAGAAGGAAACCTTAAGACAAGCCGTGGCTCCTCACTGTCACTATGCAGAAAATCAGTGTGACAGCAGCAGGAACACGGAGAAGCTGCATCTGAGGCTGCCATTGGCAGCCTGGCCCGCTTAGGCTCACAGAAGCCAGAGTACACAAGAGGCCAGGCATTGGTGGCACATGCCTTTAATCCCAGCAGAGGCAGGCCTTTACATTGCAGAAGTTCTTAGCACGCCCTTGTTTCCCACCAGTTGGCTCTGGATCTCTCCAGTCTGCTGCCTCACATTTTCTGGCTGGGACATGGTTTGATATCCTCACCCCCACCCCCACCCCCACCCTCAGGTTAGTTTCCTATGAACGTCTGTTTTCTGGTTTTTTTTCCTCACAGCGCTCAGCCTCATACAGTGGGGTCAGTCCCCCAATCCTTGTCACAGTGTGAAGCCCATGGAGCAGTATTCCATACCTGGCAGCCATAAAAACTAACCCCTCCTCATTTAGTGCCCAGTTCCTGGCCTCCAAGTGGCTTCTGTGACAGGTGCCAGAAGGTGTCTGGCCATGTACACAGGCCAGGGGTACTGTGAACCTTTTCAGGATTTACGAGGTGCTTGAGAAGCACAATGACAGGAAGGAGGTCAGATCTGGGAAACATGGCAGCCACATGGCTCACCACTGCATTTGGAGCCCAGGCTACAAGATGAAGGTGACTGCCATCACTTTGGACTGCTGACCTTGTCCCCGCCCCACTTGACAGTTTTAAAAGAAGTGATGGGCATGGGACATCAAAAATGAGGGGAAAGGAACAGAGGTGGGGGATGAAGGAGGATGCAATGATGCTGGAACCAGAAACATCGGTCTCCAGCTTCTCATGCCCCATTGACACCTCAGCAAAAACAAGAATTGAGTTCTGAAGCAGTGGTTGTCCACCTCCCCAATGCTGTGCCCTTTAATACAGTTCCTCTGTCGTGGTGACCCTCAACCATAAAATTATCACGCACTGACTGATTTTGCTGTTTTGAATTGGAATGTAAATATTAGATATGCAACCCCTGTACCACCGCTCTGATGTATTCAAGGCACAAACATTAAAGCACCTACCAGTTTTGGGGTTGGTCTTTTCCTGTTCCCGGAGTCTTAGGCGCTCCTGGTGGATCTGCGCTCCGGTCATGAGCTGGTACTCGGGTGGCTCTGAGCTGGCGTTCCTCTGCACCAACCTCAAGTCCTGCTTGTCCATGAGTCTGATCACATCCGCTCGGTGCATCATTCCCAGGTCACTGCCTTTCTCATCCAGGACGTGGATAATCCGCTCACTAATTTTCCTCCCAGTGTTAGTAAAAGCATCTTTCCTTTTCTGTCTCTTCTCACTGTGGGTGTCTCCATCAGTACTGAAACCTTTGGCCAAAATGAGGTACAAGAGCTTCGGGGTGGAGGCAGTCAGGGACAGCTGTGCTGGGTCTGGTTTTACAATGTGTTTGCTGAAATATGTTCCAATTGAGGTTTGTAGTGTCAACCTCTTCAGAAGAACAGCCATCCTGACAATGTAATGGGGAAAGTTTATTACAGCGTAATCACTGATGCCATGGTCTGCTAGTATGGTACAGGTGAGGCTGTGGAGCCTTATGGCACACAGGGCACCAGAGTGTAGGAAGGCAACACCAAGACATAGCCTGTTGGCTGGTCCATCCCTAGGGCAGCTACTGACCAGTTGAGCAGCATAGCATGACTTTTCCATCCCTACGTTTTCTTCCACATCCACAACCATTTTCCCCTAGATCCCACAGTGCCAGCTCAAAAGTGACGTTTATATGAGGGTCTGTGTATGAGAATGAAGTAGAAATGCCATGTCAGGGGCTGCAGAGATGACTGGAGCATTTGAGTCCTCTGCTCTTCCAGAGGACCTGAGTTAGATTCCCAGCACCCACATGGTATCTGCATGTTCAACTGTAACTCGAGTTCTGGGGAATCTGACACCTGGCCTCCGAGGGGACTGCACATATGTGATACACAGATATACATGCAGGCAAGCACTTGTAAAATATAAGATATACAAAAACAATGGCATTTTGATTTTTTAAAAAAGGTGTCTTTACCACAATCAAATGATAGAAAGAACTGCTCTCACTTCTCACGGTGCTTCTTGTGCACGCCTTTAACTCCAGCACTCAGGAGGCAGAGCCAAGGCAGAGGCAAGCGGATCTCTGTGAGTTCTAGAGTTTCTGGACAGGTTCCAAAACAATACAGAGAGAAAGCCTGTCTTGAAAAAAAAAAAAGCAAAAAAACAGAAAAAAAACAAAGTGGCCACCAGGCCACCAGCAAACACTGTGGTGCCACTCTTTGGTCTTTTTAATGATTACAGTCTAGTCCTGACAGACAGTTCTTCTTATGGAAGACCCTGGTTTCCAGATTTCCCTGAATGCATCATAATTTTGTTTGGTGGTAACAATTTTATTTACAGTTTGGTAGCATGAAGGGACTCCCTCCAGCCAGTTGTATAATTTAAATTAAAGAAAATGGCTGTAATTCCCTTCAAACCTAAAATGCAAACATCTATTAGCCTGCTAATTCCTACTGTCACACCCCACTCCAGTGAAAGCTGATAAACTGGTAATGAAACAGAAAGAGCTGAGCATTTATTGTCTTTTTAGGAAAAACTGCCCGTCTATGTAGATGAAGAAAACCTCTCTTCCAAGTATGAAGCTAACTAATAATAATAAAATCAGCATTTTGCCACCAATGAAAATGGTCCATTTCAGCATCAATCAAACACCTTCTGGTACAAGGATGATGCCAAGAGGTCACCCACACACTGCCTCCAGATCAAATATGCAAAAGCACTCTGCTGAGGAAGAAGCTGACTGTCACCATCATGACCAAGGGTCAGAGTGGCATCGCCACCAGAGGACAGCCTCACATCTCAGGCATGTCTCTTGATGCAAAACTACAGTAAACAGTCAATGCTTCTGACAACACAGCTTTGTCCCCAGGTAATCCAAAACTGGCCCACCTTGCCACGGAACTTCAAGAACAAGGTCAGATCCAGAGAGGAGTGAACTGGAGGACACCACAGGGAAGCGAAATCACAAATCCAGACTGGGAGACAAGACTGGTTTGGTGAGAATGTAAAGGGAAGGATGAGCTAGTTTTGAGTAAAAAGACAAGGGAATTACAAACTGTAATGTGTTTAAGAAGAATCCTCCAGAAAGACTCATTGGGGATATAGGAATGCAGATTAGGTGTTTGGAATTACCAAAGTGTCATCAAATTTTCTCAGTGTGAAAACCGAGGAAATAAACACTGACTTATTTAGGATCATGATTGGAAATGGCGAAGCAGGAAACAGGAATCAGACAATGCTATTATGGCAATTTTGCAGCCTTTGGCTACATGGCTGTTAGTTCTTCATCTCTCCATTCTTTGGCTTGTTTAAATTATTTTTTGTAATTAAAATGCGAAGGAAGCAAACAAGAATTGATGGCCTAAAAGAGCTAGCTCAGTGATCATGTCAGTGCAGCTACGGCAGCTGCAGAGTCCATGTTTCACCTCACTGGAACAACAGACATACTGGCTTGGTGTGCTTCCCTGGTTGGCTTTTGGAGGCTTTGTTGTTTTTTTGAGGAGGGGTTGTTTTGTTTTTTGAGATAGGGTTTATCTGTGTAACAGCTCTGGCCATCCTGTAATTTGCTTTGTAGATCAGACTGGTCTCAAACTCACAGAGACCCACCTGCCTCTGCCTCCAGAGTGCTGGGATTAAAGGCTTGTGCCGCCACCACCAGGCAGTCCTGGTTAGTTCTTTATCAACTGGACATAAACCAAAGTCATCTGAGGAGAGGGACCCTCAACTAAATAAATTCCTCCATCAGGTTGGCCTGTGCGCAAATCTGTGGGCATTCTTGATTAATGATGAATGCGGCAGGGTCCAGCAACTGTGGGCAGTACCACTCCTGGGCAGGTGGTCCTGAACAGTGTACAAAAAAGCAGGCTGAGAAGCCATGGGGAGCCAGCCAGCGAGCAGTATTCCTCTGTGGTCTTTGGTTTCTGCCTCCAGGTTCATGCCCTAACTTCTCTCACTGATGGACTATGTATGATTTGAACCTGCAAGCCAAATACATCCTTTCCTCTCCAAGTCTTTGCTTTTTAGTTTGGTGTTTTCTCACAGAAACAGAAAGCAAACTGAGACATGTATCTTCATACATTCATACATAAATAAATACATACATACATACCATTTCAAAGCCTATGTGTAAATGAACAAATAAGGACTTTACAAATGTAAAATTCTGAAGACTTTTTAACACTTAAATACTTATTTCTCTCAAAGACTGTCACCATCACAAATGTCAACAACGTGAGTGTGAAGTTCATTTGCACGTGTCTTGGTAATTCTCAGTTAAGGGCTACCTGTCTCTGTGAGAACTCTGCTTACTCAGAAACAAGAGGCCTGCCAGCCTCACTTGGGATGCTTTCAGCACACGGTGTCCTTCCTGCTTTTCTGTGACGTGTCGCTGAACGGGGGACATTCAGTTGAACCTCCTTTGATCCTTCTGCCAAAGGTGGGCATGAGGCTGGGCAGACCAGTATCACCGAAAGATGCTGAACATGAAACAATTTGGGGGCATCTAGCTGGACTCTTCCTCCCAAGACAGCAAGTCACAATATTGCTGAAGGCATATTTCTCTGTTACTACAAATGCATGCATTTACAGTATGAGATGTCCATTTCTGATGCAACAGTTACTCAGATCTTAATGCAATGATACTTTACCATAAGGGTCTCTTTGAAAGTCAGCAACTGGTGCCACACAGAAGCTCTATGCCACACTGAAACGCACGAGAGCCTCTGAGGCTCTACCAGTAACTCTCAGAATGATGAGCCACTGAGTGCTATATGTCAAAGGGACGCAAGACAGTAATTTTGATGTCTGATACACATGGTATAGCCAATTAGAAATTGAAATGATTTAAATATTGGGCCATAAACGGAGAAACTATGAGACATGTATTTATTTCTATTCACTGTGTTTTGCTCTGTACTGTCTGTATATATTTTTTAAGATTTTATTCTTTGTGTGTATATGTGTGCATTTGCCTGTGTGTCTGCATGCATGCAGGCACCCATGGAAGCCAGAAGAGGGTGTCAGACACATTGAAACTGAAGTAACAGGCAGTTGTGAGCTGCCTGATATGGGTACTGGGAACTAAATCTGGGTCTGTGTGAGAGCTACAAACCTCTTAACCTCTGAGCCATCTCCCCAGCCCCCACTTATATGTTCACGTTTGTCTTCTGTTATTAGCAACTTCTTATTTATTTATTTTTTTTGGTTTTTCGAGACAGGGTTTCTCTGTGGCTTTGGAGGCTGTCCTGGAACTCGCTCGGTAGTCCAGGCTGGTCTCGAACTCACAGAGATCCGCCTGCCTCTGCCTCCCAAGTGCTGAGATTAAAGGCGTGCGCCACCAACGCCCGGCGCAACTCCTTATTAACACATACACAATTACTCACTGAATATTCCCTCATGCGTCTTCCCGGTCAATCTATACCACCACGCCGAGCCAGTCACTGTCCTAGTTTTTATTTCATCATGGTCTCTTTGTAGAGAGTGTGTGTTGTTTGTCATAAGGCATCTGGGCATGCTTCCTGGCTCATCTCTATGGCTGTGGCACCCGTTTGTACCTTTTTACTTCTGAGAAGTGGTCCTCATTTACTGCGCTGCTCTCTGCAGAAGTCCAGTTTATTATTAAGGAACACCTGAGCCGCTTCGGCTTGGGAATCTTACGGATAAGGGGCTGATTACCGTGGGACGCTGGGACTGTTCTTCACGAGGTAGTAAGGATGGGGATGCAAAGAACATCCCCACAACACAACTTAAACATGTCTTAATATCCAGCCTCTTAAACTGGGGGTGATGTTCCAGCCTCTTAAACTGGGGGTGGTGTCACCGACTGTGGCAGCTGAGAGAGTATTGGGTCTGAATGAGCCAGGGACCAAAAATTAGTTCACAAACACCTGCAAAATGAATCCCTTGAGCTTCTGTGGGCATGTACCCATTTCGAAACTTGCAACTCCACTGCGGTCTTTTTTCTGAACACACAGCATGATCTGTGGCCACGTCATGGTGGACTTGCCTGATCTCATCAGAACGCACAACACGTTTCACACCTACTTTGCTATCAGAGCACACAGTCAGGGCACACAGCACCAGCAAAGGCCAGTGGCCCGAAACACCTCAGTTCAGATCCAAGGTTACGGCAGAGTATGAACTGCAACATCTTTATTGTTCACACTGACTCTGCTCTTTCATCTTTTAATACTTCCCCGCCGACTTTCTTCATTGTGAATCACGTTAGTACAACTCTGTGCTGCAATGCATTGCAATGCTTTGTTTTAAAAATTGCTGTTTGAGTTGTTAGCTCGAGTTTCCTGAAATAATAATGATTATTATTGGGATTAGGACAGGTTTTCCAACAGCTTCTGAAGTGATCCTAAACATGCTAATTTATCAAAGTCCTAAACATTGTCAAAACAGCTTTCTCAACATTAAGTCATAAAACTGTATCAGTCAACTCTCAAAGTATTGAAGATGCTCAATTATGCAAATATTAATTTAACATGGAGCAAAGATTTAGGATCAATGAGATGGCTCCGTGGGTATGGGTGCGTGCATGCGTGCGTGTGTGTAACTGTCTGATGTGTCTGGGCACCCATGCCATACTGCCAGTGCAGAGGTCAAAGGACAACCTTATGGAATTCCGTCTCTCCTCTCACTTTTATGTCGGCCCCCTCCACTGAATTCTGTCTTCTGCTTTGGCTATTGAGTCATCTCTTACCTGATGATACTGATTTTTTGTTGTTTTGTTTGTTTTTACGAGACAGGGTTTCTCTGTATTGTTTTGGAGGCTGTCGGTCCAGCCCAGCCTCGAACTCACAGCGATCTGCCTGCCTCTGCCTCCCGAGTGCTGGGATTAAAGGCGTGCGCCACCACCGCCCGGCTGATATTGATTTTTTAAAATTTATTTTTGAGACAGGATCTTAAAGGCCAGACTGGCCTCAATTCACAAGAGATGAGCCTCTGCCTCTCGAGTGAGGACTAGCGAGGGCTGTGGGGAGCTAGAACTGAAGCTGTGCGCCACCGCGCCTGGCTCGACACTAAATTTGTACCATTTATTTACTCAGTTTTTCCGTATCGTTCGTTACACTTCATAGTAGCAAGCTCATACGGACACCTATTCACTCCAGAAAGAACGGGTTCGAGTAGATTCAATATTTTGTGAGCTCAATTTGAGTTTTTGCTACAACTCACTTCCAGGAGGAATTTCAAGTCCTAGCTCGGTGACGCCCGGACGCCTTTGGTCCCAGCACTTTGGGAACTGAGGCAGGTGGATCTCTGTAAATTCTAGGCCAGCCTGGTCTACAGAGTGAGCTCCAGGACAACCAGAGCTACATTGTGAGACCCTGTTTCAATAAAGAACAAAAATTAAAGAAAAAAGAAAGTCTCAAGTTGTCTCTAAGGGTGGGCAGAGGGCACGTCCACGCGAAGGACAAGCCCACCAGGAAGCCAAACACGCTCCCCACCCCGCCCCCCAGGACGCGCGCGTGCGCACGTATGCAACGAAAATGGCTGGGATTGCGGGCCTGTGGCTCGGGAGCGCGGCAACTGGTTGGATCCTGAAGCCTCTGACCACCGACCGCGTCCGCCGTGGGCGCTCTGCATAGACTGTCCCCAAGACACATCCTCCCGCCTCAGCCCCGCACCGCCGAGCTCTCTCACCTTAGCGCTACCTGGGCCGGGGACGAGGGAAGAACCGGCAGGTCGGTACCCGGGCTCCGCGGAGGGACCGCGTCGGCTTCCGTAGCAGGCGGAACTTCCTGAGTCCTTTAAAGGGGTCGCGTTTTCCTCCAATGAAATAAAGTCCTCCGGGGGAAAAAAATACTGAAGTTCTGAGGAAGAAACTGAGGAAATCGCTGCTTTACTTACCTTCTGCTGCTCCAGAGGCGAAGTGAACGTTAAAATGTGGAGTCCCCGGAGCAGTCACTGCATGGCCAGTTGCATTTATACCAATTTAATAAAATATGCCTCTTACGATGTTTTCGGGACAACCTACGGTATGGAATACTGCCACCTGCATGTGAGCAGATCAGGCTAGTGAAAGCTCTGGGTAGCAAGGTGTAAGCATCCATTCCCAAGACCGCGCTCTGCTGACAAAAAGCGATGGATTCAGTTTCAAGCGTTGTCTGAACTGGGAGAAATTCCAGCTCATCCACAGCGAGACGAGTGACTTACTGCCTTGCCCAGAATCAGGGAAGAGAGCAGCCCGAAACTTCATCTCCCTCTGTGTTGCACCTGCTGGCTCTTGGGGCGCCCACCCATGCAACCAGGCAGCTAAGTGTCCCCTACTTTGGCCTTAAGTCCTTACTTTTCTCTGTTCTTCAACAGGGGATTCCTCAGTGGGAGTACCTGCATTCCCTTTATGAAGGGACGCCATGGTGTTTATAGACCGTGTGCAGTCCACTTGTCTTACTTAATTCTCACCAAATAACTCAATCAGGGTAGTAATACCCGAGTACAACTATTACCCTTGCATCAGAGGAAATAGGGCAGTCTTAAGTAGCTTCTCAAGAGCCACATCTAAGTCTTAACTTTCCTCATCGTCTCATAGCCTCTGGCACAAGAGCCTTGTATCTGTGATATGGCAAAGCCTGAAGCAATCTAGTGTGGTCCACAGGCCAGGGCTGGGGCCTGCATGTCAGGCATTTCCAAGTGAACGGAAGAATTAGAGACGTTTTTATTCTGCCAGAATTAGTCCTCGGTGGGAAAGTGGAAGCGTAGCTGTGGGGATAAAGTGTGCAGCCTGCCCCCTGGGTAGACAGGTCCACAACGGCTGTTAAGAGTCCACATTTGCGATAACATTTATATAAGCACCATACTTCTAAGCACTTAGTATCGTCAAGTTAGCTTAATCCTCAGGACACCCTCATGAGCTACTGCTTTCATTACCAATTTCACGGATGAGGGGACTGAAACATGAAGGAGTTATATGACTTTCCCCAACATCACACAATCAGCAGAGTCAAGAATGTAGGATATCTCAGTGACTAAGAGGGTATTTCTCTTGCAGAGGGGCTGGGTTCTGTTCCCAGCACCCACAACTGCCTGTAACTCCAGTTCCAAGGACCCCAGTGCCCTGTCATTACCTTGGAGACACCTGCATGCATGTGGCGTACATTCGACCGTGCAAGCACACATTAACATAAATAAAAATGACTTTAAAGGATTTTTTTTTTTAGGTTTTTACGAGACAGGGTTTCTCTGTATTGTTTTGGAGGCTATCGGTCCAGCCTGGCCTCAAACTCACAGAGATCCGCCTGCCTCTGCCTCCCGAGTGCTGGGATTAAAGGTGTGCACCACCACCGCCCGGCAGACTTTAAAGGATTTTAAAAGGAGAAAAAAGAGTGAAGGGGACTGTGGAAATATTTGTTTATTTATGTGTAGGGCCTAGTACTTGCTAGCCAAACGCTGAGTTAATCCCCATCCCTAAAGCAAGAGCACTTGCCTAGCGTGTATAAGCCCTATTTTTCTACCCCCAAGTACTAAAAAAAAAAAAAAAAAAGGACAAGAAAGAGAAAAACTGACCCAAGCAGTCTAGTGCCATATCCCTCGATGGTGTGTGTGTGTGTGTGTGTGTGTTTCCCACAATCAGAGACTGAAGAAAAGATACTGCTCCGTGAAAACACTAAGTCGAATGGACCCAAGGAAATGGAAGCATGTAATATACTAGCAAAGGGCTTACAGTTTGATAAGATTAGGAAATACACCCAGACAGACATCCCTGGTAACTGCTGCTACCTGCTCGGCATCTTGCTGTAGCCCTCTTTAAAGGCCTTGCAACCTAGCAACTGGCTGAAGCAGCTGCCGTCATTAGCTGTCCTAACACCTACAGGGTGGTGAGTTTTTGTTTTCTTAACTGTTGTTTGTTTTGTTTTGTTGTCTCTGCATAGTCATGGCTGCACTGGAGCTGCCAAAGTAGACCAAGAAGGCCTTGAACTCACAGAGATCCTTCTGTCTCCACATCTCGAGTGCTGGGATAGAAGGCAAGAGCCACATCACTGAGCCTAGAACCTACCTTGGTTTTATGCTCCCGAGAGGAGTCAAACAAGAAGCAGGAGAAAGGCTGCTGCAGACATGCTCTGAGGGCTCGCACCTCTCCCCTCCCCCCTTCCCCTGCAGAACTTTGCTTAGCCTCCATGAAATGGGACGTGACCTATTTAAAAAGATGTGTTTATTTACTTATTTTGATGGACATTAGTGTTTTTCCTGTATGTGTGTCTGTGTGAGGGAGTCAGATCTAGAACTGGAGTTACAGACAGGTGTGAGCTGTGGTGCTGGGAGCTGAACCTGGGTCCTCTGGAAGAGCAGCCAGTGCTCTAACCACTGGACCATCTCCCCAGGATGTGGCCTATTTTAAGGAGCCATTGGGAGCAATGGACTCAGCTTGGTAGTGGCAGGATTTGGAGGCTCTGGAGGAACATAAAACTAGCAGTCTGCCCCTGAGACTGCCTTTCTGCCTTTACCCCTCCTGTTTGACAAGGCACTGGTTTGCCTATCAAAAAAGGACTTCAGATTCTTTGGACAAATATTGGGGGTTTCTGTATTAAGATTTTCTGGTACCATCACTGCCTCTGTTACGTTTGCCTCTCGAAATAAAGTTGTCTCATGGCTCCAGAAAAAAGTCCTGTCAGGATGTAATGTTTAAGTAGCAGTTGGCAGGTCTGTTAAGTCCTCAATAGTTTTTCCAAATTTCACTTTTATTAAGAAGGTCTCACCAGGCTGTAGTGACACACACCTTTAATCCCAGCACTCGGGAAGCAGAGGCAGGTGAATCTCAGTGAGTTTTGAGGCCAGCCTGGTCTACAGAGAGAGTTATAAAACAAACAAACAAACAAACAAACAAACAAACAAAAAGTGTCCATGGAAACTCTTTCAAAAATTCTGTCTCAAATTAATTTCAGAACAAGTGTTACTTATACACCAAAGAGTGACACTGATGTCCACAGCAAGCCATCCAATGAGTCCAGCCTCCCAGAGGGACTGCCAGGGTACCCAGGACACCAGAGAGCATGCCTTGGGACAAGCTGATGAAGAAAGTCTGCTCGTGTACGGACATACATTCCCTCTTGCTTGGTGACTAGGGACAGTAACAGTTTTAAAAGCAAACCACACACTAGTAAAATCCTTGGATTTCTTTTGAAATTGCATAGATGCTGTCGAGTCTGCATGGCTTCATGGCCATGATTGTCAATACAGAGTGGGTGTGGTGGCTGAGGAGACACCATTTACCTTCTGCCTACTGATATGGCACAAGGGATGTAGGAAATAAGATATGGCTGTGGGCCTTGGCTGAATGTTGGGAAAAGCATTCAGAATTTCCTGAAGACAGTCAGCCCCATGCCATGAGCCTGCTACCATGAATTCATGAGTCTCTTATCATAAACTATCATAAGTCCTCATGTCGTCCGTTTCCTCTCAGGTGAGACCATTCGTCACCCACTCCAAACATGTGAACACCTATATGATGAATAATCTAAACCAAACAAAACACCAGTAGGTTTAGCTGCACTTTCAACTTGTATCATCCTTTGTGTGACTTATGTTCATGACATAGCTACTTAGGCAGTTCCCCAGTAGACCCGGAGAGCATCTGGTAGCCACAGCTGTGCTGCAGCCCTTCATGTACCCTAAGACTATAATTAGGTCCAGAATAGATTTCTTCATTGTGTATAATGTCCCCCACAGCATCACACTGCAGACCAAGTATGTCTTTTGTCACAAACTGATGACACAATTATTAAAACACATCGATAACTGTAAATGAGCGTAGCAAGTCTGTTGGAGTGTACACATCGTGTTGGAGATTTCAAAAGCTTTCATGTGTGTTAAATGCAATATTTGCAAATGGAGATGCATTTCTCTTCCATGCATCGTCTTTTTGCACAACTGGATGAAGCAGAAAATGGGTTTCAGATGTCTCCTTTGGAAAAGCAAGATGGTGGGTTTTGGAGTGATTTAACTAACTTTCATCACTAACTTGTGTGTGTGTGTGTGTGTGTGTGTGTGTGTGTGTGTGTGTGTGTGTGTGTAGGACCAGTAGACCAGAGGTTGTTTCTCAGAGACTATCCTTCTGACAAAATTTGACAGTCTCTCATTGGCCTGGACCTCTCCCCAGTAGACTAGGATGACTGGGCATGAGGCCCAAGGATCTTCCTGTCTCCGCCTCCTTAGTACAGGGATGACAAGTGTGCACCACCACACCCAGCTCTTTATATGGGTTCTGGGAATTGAACTCAGGTCCTCATACTTGCCTGGCAAGCACTCTATCAACTGAGCTACGTCCTCAGATCCAACTGCCTTCATTTTAAAAACCATTAAACAAGTAATTCCCACTGCTCATGTGTCATGTCACACAGAACAATGAAAATGATGAAAACCTACAAGGCATTGCATGCTCTCTACTGTGGAGGTCAGAGCAAAACATGACCAAGATATCACCTGGCATTACACTTCATATATGGCTCAGCACCACTTTTCAACGACATCATCTGGTTACTCACTCCTTAAGGAGGGCAGGTCTGCCAACAAGTCCATTGAAGGACTATTTGGGCCGTCACTCTCCTTGAGGCAAACGGAATTAGAGACCAATTGCTCTCCTTTCACAAGTTCCTGGGGTGTGGAGTTTTACATGTGTGCTTACAGAGAAGCTTGTCTGCTGTCCATTGGAGTTATTGTGTAAGACCCCCCCCTCCCAAACTGCTAAGTCCTCCGGCAAAGATTTTTAAAGGCTGCTTTGTTGGCAGCCT